TGATGGTCTGGTTGTGAGAGATTATATGTTCCTTGATGGAGCCCTGTTGTTTGTGTATTGTTAATCGCCTGGAAAGAGACGTTGTTGTCTTGCCTATATACTGAGATCTTTGAGGCTGACAGTCCTCAAGTGGGCATGTGATGGCATAGACGACGTTGGTTTCCTTCAAGGCGTTCTGCTTGGTGTCTGGAGAGTTCTTCATGAGTAGGTTGGCCGTTTTCTTGTTTTTGTAGTAAATCGTCAATTGTATCTTCTGATTGGTGTCTGTGGGGATAACGTTTCTATTAATAATATCTTTCAGGGACCTTTCCTCCGTTTTATGAGCTGTGGAAAAGAAGTTCTTGTAAAACAGTCTAATAGGGGGTACAGGTGTTGTGTTAGTTGACTCTTCAGAGGTTGCATGGCGTTTCACCTTTCTTTTTATGACGTCTTCAACATAACCGTTAGAGAAGCCATTGTTGACTAGGACCTGCCTTACTCTACAGAGTTCTTCGTCATCCTGCTTCCAACCATAGCTGTGAGTGAGAGCTCGGTCGACGTAAGCATTGACAACACTCCTCTTGTACCTGTCTGGGCAGTCACTGTTGGCATTGAGGCACATTCCTATGTTCGTTTCCTTAGTGTAGACTGCAGTGTGGAAGCCTCCGTTCCTTTCCGTGACTGTTACATCTAGAAAGGGCAGCTTCCCATCACTCTCCATCTCGTAAGTGAAACTTAACACAGAATTTTGCTCGAATGCCTCCTTCAGCTGCTATGAAGGAGGCCTTCATATATATATATATATATATATATATATATATATATATATATATATATATATATATATATATATATATATATATATTATGTCGTACCTAGTAGCCAGAACTCACTTCTCAGCCTACTATGCAAGGCCCGATTTGCCTAATAAGCCAAGTTTTCCTGAATTAATATATTTTCTCTAATTTTTTTCTTATGAAATGATAAAGCTACCCATTTCATTATGTATGAGGTAAATTTTTTTTTATTGGATTTAAAATTAATGTAGATATACGATCGAACCTAACCAACCCTACCTAACCTAACCTAACCTATCGTTATAGGTAATGTTAGGTTAGGTAGCCAAAAAAAACTAGGTTAGGTTAGGTTAGGTAGGTTAGGTAGACGAAAAAACATTAATTCAAGAAAACTTGGCTTATTAGGCAAATCGGGCCTTGCATAGTAGGCTGAGAAGTGAGTTCTGGCTATTAGGTACGACATATATATATATATATATATATATATATATATATATATATATATATATATATATATATATATATATAGTGTCCCAAAACAATGTATACACACTTCAACAGCTGATAGCTTAGTTGATATCTTTCTTACTTTTCAGATTTAACTCACTGGAATTAATAATACCAACCAGACTATGCTTTGATCAAAGGAAATATCTCCTAAAATCCTACTGGAAGTTTGAGAACGCAGATTTAGCCCAAAACACAGTGTAGGAGGCAGTGTCACACGGATCCGCCCGAGTGACATCCACCACTCGAATTAGAGTTAAGCCTTCAGCCGATGGCACTATCCCCCAGAATGTCTACAAGAAGCGCCCCCAGAGAACCAGAGACACCAAACGAACCCAAGCAGGGAAGGTACTAGAAACTTGTCACCAAAGTCCAAGACAATCTATCCGACCAAGCGAGGCGTGACGCAGGAATTTCGAAATCGTCTGGCCCATCGGGACAGCAACATCCCAGAAGACTTTATCATTGACGACGGTCCGGAGCTTAGAGCGGAGGTACCGCAAAAGACCATTTCCTCGCAAGATGTGCTCAAGATTTGAACAAGCTCTTCCAACACTGTGTTAGAGTGATGACGCGGTTACATGTACATTAAACGGTTCAATTAACCGCCACAATTGCACCTAGTGGAGGGTGGGTGGGGGGGGGGGGAGAGGGGGGGGAGGAGATGAGGGTCCGGATGTTATGGGAGAACATCATGTTAATGGTCCAGGAGTTACGGTGAGCATGACAGGTTTAGCCTCAGGAATGTGATCCAGCCACTGATGATGATGATGCTTCACTTTCACACCACCACCACCAGGGTCTCCACCACACCACCACCACCACCAGGGTCTCCACCACACCACCACCAGGGTCTCCACCACACCACCACCACCACCAGGGTCTCCACCACACCACCACCACCACCAGGGTCTCCACCACACCACCACCAGGGTCTCCACCACACCACCACCACCACCAGGGTCACCACCACACCACCACCACCACCAGGGTCACCACCACACCACCACCAGGGTCTCCACCACACCACCACCACCACCAGGGTCACCACCACACCACCACCAGGGTCTCCACCACACCACCACCACCACCAGGGTCACCACCACACCACCACCAGGGTCTCCACCACACCACCACCACCAGGGTCTCCACCACACCACCACCACCAGGGTCTCCACCACACCACCACCATCAGGGTCTCCACCACACCACCACCACCAGGGTCTCCACCACACCACCACCACCACCAGGGTCTCCACCACACCACCAGGGTCTCCACCACACCACCACCACCAGGGTCTCCACCACACCACCAACCTCTTCACTTGGAAATCATGCTGGCGTTGACTATAACTATTGACAATATAATTTTTTTAATTATATATATATATATATATATATATATATATATATATATATATATATATATATATATATATATATATATAATTTTGGTAGCAGTCTTTCCTGTAGACACATATTATTAAATATGACCGAAAAAGTAAGATTACTAATTCTAACACGAATTTTCTCAATATTTCTTATGGTTCTTTTCACTGTTGATGGTAATTGAAAAAATCAATTCTCCAAAATTCATTTTTATTTCTAGTCTGACGCGACACTTGAACTCGTTTCGTAATAACTTATTACATTTTCAAAGACTTTAGTTTACACACACACAACTATATCCTGCAAACACTAAACAGAGTTTAAACAGCTTTGGTTTTATACCTGCATTTGGGTGAGGTGATATTTTCAACAGTTTTGGATGAGGTGAAAACAAACTTTCAACACAAGACAGAACACGAAACAATGGGTATAATATTTTGTAAGTTAAAGGGAAGAATGGAAGTAACTGCAAAGGGCCAATTGGCCCATATTTCTTGATGCTTCTGTATTGATGCGGAGTCTTGAAGTGGATAGAATTCTACCCACTTCAAGACTCCGCAAGACTTCAACTTACAAAATATTATAGCCATTGTTTCGTGTTCTGTCTTGTGTTGAAAGTTTGTTTTCACCTCATCCAAAACTGTTGAAAATATCACCTCACCCAAATGCAGGTATAAAACCAAAGTTGTTTAAACTCTGTTTAGTGTTTGCAGGATATAGTTGTGTGTGTGTAAACTAAAGTCTTTGAAAATGTAATAAGTTATTACGAAACGCGTTCAAGTGTCGCGTCAGACTAGAAATAAAAATGAATTTTGGAGAATTGATTTTTTTAATTACCATCAACAGTGAAAAGAACCATAAGAAATATTGAGAAAATTCATGTTAGAATTATTAATCTTACTTTTATATATATATAAATTTCACAACTTTTATATATATATAAATTTTATATATATATATATATATATATATATATATATATATATATATATATATATATATATAATTTGTTGTTGAATATGACCGAAAGGGTAAGATTAATGTTTCTAACACGAATCTTCTCAATATTTCTTACGTTCTTCTTAACTGTCGAGGGTAATTGATAAATTAATTCTCCAAAATTCATTCTTAATTTCTGTTGTGACGCCTGAACGCGTTTCGTAATGCTTATTACATTTTCAAAGACTTAGTTTACACATAAAATACATCATACTTTTATTCGTTTTGGGTGAGGTGATATGGCACAAAGGTTTTGGGAGAGGTGACAGCATATGCCAGAACGCGAAACAATGGGTAGAAACTGGGTATGAAAACATAAGAATGGAAGTAACTGTAGAAGGCCTATTGGCCCATACTTCCTCTTGCTGTTTCTATGTCGGTTCGGGGTCTAGAAGTGGGTAGAATATAGTTGTGCGTTAATTGGATGTTCATTGCTGATGTTGAATTTTTGATATGTAGTGCCGCGCTGATGTCGAGTCTCCTGCTATCGCTGTATATATTGACGATTTCTGTGTTGCTTGTTAAGATTTCTCTGGTGATGGTCTGGTTGTGGGAAGAGATTATATGTTCCTTGATGGAGCCCTGTTGTTTGTGCTGTTTAAACTGTTTATATAGTAAACTCCCACATATATGTATGATATATATATATATATATATATATATATATATATATATATATATATATATATATATATAAAACTGAAAACTCCACACCCCAGAAGTGACTCGAACCCATACTGCAGGAGCACCGTGCAGCTGGTGTACAGGAGACCTTAACCACTCGACCATCACGACCGGACAAAAGATGATGGTAGATTTAGACAGATGGGAGGTGACAGCACTATCTCTTGAGCCCCGCCTATCTTTTTTTGAGCTGTGGGTTGTGTAATTCAGTCACCCGCGACCTTTGGTTCTGTTATCTTAATATCAACCTTACTGACCTCGCCTGAGGATCTTATATGTCGCTAACATGTGTCTTCTTGATTTCATTTTGTTATTGCGAGTGGTGAGGTTCAGTTCCCTCAACCTCTCCTCTAAGTGTAATCCACGCAGGTCTGGTACGACCTTCGCATCCAGCCTGGTGGATAGTGGATGAGAGACGACCGACTGGCTAGATAACAAGAGCCGACCTGATGAAGAAAGAGAGAGAGAGAGAGAGAGAGAGAGAGAGAGAGAGAGAGAGAGAGAGAGAGAGAGAGAGAGAGAGAGAGAGAGAGAGAGAGAGAGAGAGAGAGAGAAGATGGACAGCTACAGCTGCCCGGTGGATAGATAGCGCCACTATAAATGCTGAATAGAAATAGTGAAAATGAAAATATTTCTGCCAAACACCACCATCAACTAATATAGAGATTGATGTCCCCCGACTACCCCCCTTCCGAGGAGTAGATGGGAGACGTCAATCTCAATCAATCGTCAATCCCCGCTCCTCTCTCACCTGATTGATAGACGACTTGAAGAACTCCATAGACTGCTCGAGGGCGTAGGTATCAGAGGAGCAGGTGTCGAGGATGAGAGCCCCGAGGGTGATGTTGGGCAGAAGGACGGGGTCCTGGTTGATCTTGTCGAGGGCGTAGAGCATGGCCTCCATGCGCTGGATGCCCTTCTCCTCCTTGATGGAGCCGCAGGGCTCGTTGACGCCGCGCTCGTGCATGGGGAACATGCCGCCGAATATGACGTCGCCGGGGATGTCAACCATCTTGACCTTGTCTGCCTTGCCGGCGTGGGTCAGGGGCGTCGCCTCCAGCAGGAGCAGCAGTAGCAGGAGCAGCAGGCTTCTGCGGCGGCGTCCTGCTTTCAGGAGGTTCTTGTGGTCTGCCTTCAGCAGGCCGCTGTGTCCTTCCTTCAGGAGGTCGCTGTGTTCTGCCTCCAGGAGGCCACGTCGTCTCCTGGCCACCAGGAGGCGGCCCAGGCAGCCGGCTGTAACAGGCAACAGTAAATAAGGACCCCGACGGCGCCGGATGTAATAAGGGGTCCTTTTCCCCTCTTCTGCGACGCCCCCTGGGGAAGGTCTGCGCCCCCGGCCCTCTGGGGGAGGTCTGCGTCCCCGGCCACCTGTGGTCCGGCCAGTGTCCCGGGCCGGATAGGTCACAGGGGACGCAGCCGGATAGGTCACAGTCCGAAGCATATCAACGTGGCCCTTTTGGCGGCTTAGCCCCCTGAGGGAGGACGCGGGTCCCCCAGGGGCTTCCCTGCGGGCCCTGAGGGCCATGGAGGGCGCTGCAGCAGCTACCAGGGCAGGCGAGGGCGCCCCTGGGACACGGGTGTTGTCCCTGTGGTGCTCATGGCGTCCCTGTAGCCTCACGCTCTCGCTGTTGTCTCCTGTAACTCGCTACATCACTAGCGAGTCCCACACCGTCCCTGCCGCCCGCCCGTCTTGCGAGCTCTCTCGCTAGCAACACAGTGTACCGAGGGCTCTCGCTAACACCTCACAATACACCGAGGTCTCTCGCTAGCAACACAGTGTACCGAGGGCTCTCGCTAACACCTCACAATACACCGAGGTCTCTCGCTAGCAACACAGTGTACCGAGGGCTCTCGCTAACACCTCACAATACACCGAGGTCTCTCGCTAACACCATACAGTACACGGAGGTCTCTCGCTAACACCATACAGTACACCGAGGTCTCTCGCTAACACCATACAGTACACGGAGGTCTCTCGCTAACACCATACAGTACACGGAGGTCTCTCGCTAACACCATACAGTACACCGAGGTCTCTCGCTAACACCATACAGTACACGGAGGTCTCTCGCTAACACCATACAGTACACGGAGGTCTCTCGCTAACACCATACAGTACACGGAGGTCTCTCGCTAACACCATACAGTACACCGAGGTCTCTCGCTAACACCATACAGTACACCGAGGTCTCTCGCTAACACCATACAGTACACCGAGGTCTCTCGCTACCAGAACACACTGACACCAACGAACACAAAACACTGAAACACAAAAAAGCGTGTTGCTTGATCCTCTTAGGTCTTGCTTTTTCCCCTTACACCAAAAAGGGGGGGGCGGTCCTGCGAACTGTGGTCCAGAGTGGTCCAGAGTGGCCCAGAGTGGTCCAGAGTGGCCCAGAGTGGTCCGTAGGGGAGGGGGCTGGGGCTCCGCCTACCCCCTAATCTCTCACTCACTTCTCACACTCTCCCAACAAGTGAGGAGACGTGGCGAGGGGGAGTGAGAGTGAGGGAACATGAGGGGAGAGGGAGGTGACCTCACACCTCACTGGCCGGGGTCACTACGTGGTGGTCAGTGCCGCCAGAGGTCACGGCGAGGTCACGGAGGGGAGGAGGCACGGAGCGGGCGAGGCAGCGGCGGCGGCGGCGGCAGGGTGGCAGAGCGGCAGGAGCGGCGGCGGTGGTGGCGGCCGCGGTAATGGCATGAGCAGCTGGGTCGACCCCCGCCACACAGCTGCACGCCCCCCCGCCCCCCGCCACCCCCCCTACCCGCGGGCCTGCGCCGCCACTACACATCTGCGCCACCACCGCCACACATCTGCGCCGCAACCACACATCTGCGCCACCACCGCCACACATCTGCGCCACCACCACCACACATCTGCGCCGCCACCAAACATCTGCGCCGCCATCAACACACATCTGCGCCACCACCACCACACATCTGCGCCACCACCACCACACATCTGCGCCCCCACCACCACACATCTGCGCCACCACCACCACACATCTGCGCCACCACCACCACACATCTGCGCCCCCACCACCACACATCTGCGCCACCACCACCACACATCTGCGCCACCACCACCACACATCTGCGCCACCACCACACATCTGCGCCACCACCACCACACATCTGCGGCACTACCACCACACATCTTTGCCTCCACCACCACACATCTGCGCCACCACCACCACACATCTGCGCCACCACCACCACACATCTGCGCCACCACCACCACACATCTGCGCCACCACCACCACACATCTGCGCCACCACCACCACACATCTGCGCCACCACCACACATCTGCGCCACCACCATCACATATCTGCGCCACCACCACACATCTGCGCCACCACCACCACACATCTGCGCCACTACCACCACACATCTGCGCCACCACCATCTCACATCTGCGCCACCACCACCACACATCTGCGCTACCACCACACATCTGCGCCGCCACCACCACCACACATCTGCGCCGCCACCACCACCACACATCTGCGCCACCACCACCACCACACATCTGCGCCGCCACCACCACCACACATCAGCGCCATCACCCCTCATTTGCGCCACCATCACCACATATCTGCGCCACCACCACCACACATCTGCGCCACCACCACCACACATCTGCGCCACCACCCCTCATTTGCGCCACCATCACCACACATCTGCGCCACCACCACACATCTGCACCACCACCACATCTGCGTCCAACCACAACTGCGCTACCACCACATATCTGCGCCACCACCACACACCTGCTCCAGTACTCGCCAGAGAGGTCCCGGGAGAACCAATAATGAGACCTCCTTGGATTCGCTTCTTGCAGGTCGGCGTTCGATCCTCGATGGTCGATGAGACTCTACACGGCATCTTCATCCTCATATCCCAGCTCCTGATCCTCATATCCCAGCTCCTTACCCTCATATCCCAGCTCCTTGCCCTCATATCCCAGCTCCTCATCCTCATATCCCAGCTCCTTGCCCTCATATCCCAGCTCCTTGCCCTCATATCCCATCTCCTTGCCCTCATATCCCAGCTCCTCATCCTCATATCCCAGCTCCTTACCCTCATATCCCAGCTCCTTGCCCTCATATCCCAGCTCCTCATCCTCATATCCCAGCTCCTTGCCCTCATATCCCAGCTCCTGGTCCTCATATCCCTCCTAAGTGCTATAAAGTCGTACTGTCTGTGTGCTTTCCCCCCATAATTACACTACCTTCCCCACCGACCTGGGAGGTGGGGAACACGTCTGTGAGATAGTCTGCACCGGACCACAGAAGAGCCTCAAGTTGCAACAGTTGCAACAAACAACATTTGTTGCAAACATGGCAGGGTGGTTTGGGTGTACTCACGGCTGAAGACCTTACCTCTAAAGACCACGATACAGTAGCCGTCACAACTGCAAGAGAAATGACAGGTTGGATAACAAGAACCTTTCACACTAGAGATGCTATACCGATGATGATACTTTTCAAGACGCTAGTGCTCTCTAGAGTGGAGTACTGCTGCACAATGACAGCCCCTTTCAAAGCTGGAGAAATTGCTGACCTGGAGACCGTGCAGAGATCCTTTACTGCTAGAATCCACTCAGTTAAAACATGTAAACTACTGGAAATGCTTTTAAAAGCCTAAATCTGTATTCTCTTGAGCGCAGGCGGGAGAGATACATAATAATTTACACGTGGAAAATATTAGAGGGGCTGGTCCCAAACCTGCACACAGAAATAACACCACATGAGACCAGAAGACATGGCAGGATGTGCAGAATACCCCCCGTTGAAAAGCAGAGGTGCAACAGGTACTCTGAGAGAGAGAACTCTATCAACATCAGAGGCCCGAGACTGTTCAACACGCTTCCACCACACATAAGGGACATAACTGGCCGACCTCTCACAGTGTTCAAGAGAGAACTGGATAAGCACCTCCAAGTGATACCTGATCAACCAGGCTGTGACTCATACGTCAGGCTACGAGCAGCCGCGTCCAACAGCCTGGTTGGACGCGGTCAGTCCAGCAACGAGGAAGTCACAGACTGGGCAGCGGGGCCTTGACCACCGCAAGATAACCGCAAAGTAAGGTACCTTTCCTTGCAAGGTAAGGTACCTTTCCTTGCAAGGTAACCGCAAGGAAAGGTAGGGAACATTTTAGGTGGTACAATGCTAGGTGGCGGATTTGCAGTAAATGTTAAATGTGATTTCTAAACATATATACATGTCATTACGCTCAATTATTTCCTTTACATGATCAGCTGTTCCTTGCCTTTATTGTTTGATTAAAGAAAACTATTTGGACGCAGTTTCATTAAAGAAAAAGGTTTTAAAGTTTTTTGTTATTATAGAAAACGTTCTTGGAGTGGAATGGAAACGTCTTCACGTAATTATAAAGTGTCATACTACATTAAAGTTTTTCTGGGTCAAGACAATTATGTTTTTTAAGGATATTAAATTGCCTCTTGTTCATCTCCTTCCCAGTCATTTTACCTCATTAAACGGACTTCTTGTGATTTATTTGTAAGAGTTGGTAACATTTCAGTCACTTGGGTCATTGGGGATTCGAACCCTGGCCTCAAAGTATAAAAGTGTTGTCCTATCAACCAGGCCATGACTGCTCATAACAAGTATCCCACAAGTACCTAACTGGTATCAAACTGAGACTTTAAACCTTCCTTAAAGCTCTCCTGAGATTCCTGGAAGATTTTTACACACGCAGACATGTCCTATGAGATGGATATGGGACTAGGAGATAGGAGACCAAAGGGACAGTACACAATGAAGGGGAACAGCCTACCTGTAACGACGCGTGAAAGAGACCTGGGAGTGGACGTTACATCTAACCTAACTCTTGAGGCACATATAAATAGGATAACGACAGCAGCGTACTCTACGCTAGCAAAAGTTAGAACATCATTCAGAAACCTAAGTAAGGAGGCGTTTAGTTCGCTTTACACTACCTATGTGAGAATAGTCTTAGGGTATGCAGCCCCGTCAGGTAGCCCCCACCTGAAGAAACACACAAAGAAGGTGCTTCAGAAGTTTGCGACGAGGCTCGTCCCAGAGTTCCGAGTGATGGGGTATGAAGAGCGACTGAAGGAACTGAACCTGACGACGCAAGAGAAAAGGAGGGAACGAGGGAGATATCATAGCAACATATAAAATACTTAGGGGGATTGACAGAGTGGAAATTAACGAATTGTTCACACGGAATAGTAACAGAACGAGGGGACATGGGTGGAAGCTGGAAACTCAGATGAGTCACAGAGATGTTAGGAAGTTTTCTTTTAGCGTGAGAGTAGTGGAAAAATGAAATGCACTTAAGGAACAGGTTGTGGAAGCAAACTCTATTCATAATTTTAAAACTAGATATGATAGGGAAATAGGACCGGAGTCATTGCTGTAAACAACCGATGACTCGAAAGGCGGGATCCAAGAGTCAATGCTCGATCCTGCAGACACAAATAGGCGAGTACGCCGTGACACACAACTAGACTGACGTACCAAGAGCCTCTCTGACTGCTACAGTTACCGTACACTCTCAGTCTTAATGCAGGGGATAAATTAAAACAGACTCCGTGACGTGGTATAATTTGTGTTGGTAATATTGTAGGGCGAGAGGTAGGTGTGTGTATATTGTATGTTGTTGTTGTTGTATACAACCCTGGCACTCATACACCTTATACAACCCTGGACCTCATACAACTTATACAACCCTGGCACTCATACAACTTATACAACCCTGGCACTCATACAACTTATACAACCCTGGCACTCATACAACTTATACAACCCTGGCACTCATACACCTTATACAACCCTGGCACTCATACACCTTATACAACCCTGGCACTCATACAACTTATACAACCCTGGCACTCATACAACTTATACAACCCTGGCACTCATACACCTTATACAACCCTGGCACTCATACACCTTATACAACCCTGGCACTCATACACCTTATACAACCCTGGCACTCATACAACTTATACAACCCTGGCACTCATACACCTTATACAACCCTGGCACTCATACAACTTATACAACCCTGGCACTCATACAACTTATACAACCCTGGCACTCATACACCTTATACAACCCTGGCACTCATACAACTTATACAACGCTGGCACTCATACAACTTATACAACCCTGGCACTCATACACCATATACAACCCTGGCACTCATACACCTTATACAACCCTGGCACTCATACACCTTATACAACCCTGGCACTCATACACCATATACAACCCTGGCACTCATACAACTTATACAACCCTGGCACTCATACACCATATACAACCCTGGCACTCATACAACTTATACAACCCTGGCACTCATACACCATATACAACCCTGGCACTCATACAACTTATACAACCCTGGCACTCATACACCATATACAACCCTGGCACTCATACAACTTATACAACCCTGGCACTCATACACCTTATGGCACTCATACCCTGGCACTCATACACCTTATACAACCCTGGCACTCATACACCTTATACAACCCTGGCACTCATACACCTTATACAACCCTGGCACTCATACACCTTATACAACCCTGGCACTCATACACCTTATACAACCCTGGCACTC